CCACTTTTTAGTAAAGGAAAGAGTCCAAAAGAGGAAAGAGAAGGTGGCAGCCCTTTGGGCTTCATGGCTGGAATTCGAGCAGACGCGCTCAAACGGCAAAACACATGAATGAAAAAAGAATCAAAATGCCAAAAAAAACGAATAATGGAAGAAAAGGCGTCGAAAGTCGAACCCCGAACAGGGAGATATGCCCCAAACAAGTTTGGCGCTAACGGGGGCTGAAAACCCCAAAACTGGGAAAAATGTCCCAAAGGAAATTCTAAGAGTACACGACTCAACAAAATGTGAAAATGAACCCCGTACGATGATTCAAGCCCCAAGAAGACACTTAGTAATTAGCTTTCATTAATTGCACAAAGTCCCCTACACAAAAGGATAATTGCGCAAGTGACCCAAATGCAAATATCTTCCAAAATATATTTTCTTAAAAATCCCAAAATCAAAATATCTTCAAAAGATATTTATAAAAAAAACACCCCAAGAAACAAAAACGTTTTTAAAGAATTTTTTCATCCACGCCCCTGCGGGAAAAAGAGACAACTGACGAACTTTTCTCCAAAAGTAAAGCTACGCCTTTCAAGGAAATCAACAAGAATGAAACTACGTGAAGTCAAAAATCAACTCCGACCACGAAAAGTGAGGTTACGCGAAAGAAAATTTCAACGAAAAAAATTAATCCGTAAAAATGGAGAAAAAATGAAAGGAAGAAAAATGATCGGGTCATTACATTATTTGTTGTGAAGTGAGTGAATTTGTGGTATCTGTTGACCTTAAGGATTTCATCCAAGGACAATCTTGATGTTTTGATGATAATAAACCATTAATGGTATTTAAGGACTAATGTTTACATTGAGTGTTATAGATTATTTACATTCAAAGAATGACCTCAATGAAGCTATAAAGATCATTCCAAGTATTCCATTATTCAAGATCACATCAAGGAAAACAATGGATACAAAGAAGACTTAAAGTTGCAAGAACAAAATGCAAATTCCATCCAAAGATAGCTTAGACATCGAAAATCAATAAAGCAACTTAAAGAAAGAAAGAAAGTAAGGAAGCAAGAATACCTCGAAACATATACGATCATGGACAAAGCATGAAGAAAGGGGTAAATAGAATGGTGAGTTGTTAAGATTCAATGTCAAAGTATTTATGATTCCATTTGAACCTCATCTCTATAAGATCATGCATATCATCATTATCATTCATATGTTCCTATATTTATTAGTAATAGACTATGTACTTCATACATATATATTTACACATGAAGTCATTACTAAAGAATGAGTTAGTTCAAGCTTGCTTAAGCTTTGAAAGAACTCATTACTTGTGCTATAAATGTTAAGACCATGCACATCAATTATATGATTCATATTGGTCAATTATTAAGGCATGAGAAACCTTCATTACCATGAGTTGGCAAAAGACATTAGGACCCCTGAATGCATGTCATCAAAAACTGTGTTTTTGGCTAAGTATGAAAAATGGCTAAGTGTAAAAAATGGATTTTTGAAATAATGATTATTTCAAAATAATTTTTCCTGGTAACAACTTATTATACTTCAAATAGTCTAAACTGATTTTATGGGATTTTTTCATCCATTTTTCATTGGTCTACATGAGGATTTATTTTTACCAAAACTGTCAGAAATCCAAATTTGTACTAAAACTGAATTTCTACATTTTGATTTAGCTGGATTTCAATTTTCTTATATTTTTTATTGAATCCAAATAGGGGGTATTTCCTTATTTACATTGTAAACTTACTGTAAATGGACCTATAAATACTATAAAGACATTTACTTAAATGTTTTCAATGAAAATAAGGTGTGTGCAGAAGTCCTGCAGAAGAACTGTTTGAAACACTATCCCCAGAATCTGATGACCATGTAACCGATTAGGAAGAAACTTCTAACCGAGTATCTGAATTGGCAGAATGAACTATCCTTGAAATGCTACTTCTAACCGGTTAGGAAAACACTTCTAGTCGAGTAGCTGAATAGGCAAAATGAACCATCCTTGAAATACTACTTGTAACCGGTTAGGACAATTCTTGTAACTGAGTAGCTGCACTGAGACAGAAAGGAGTCACTTCAAAATGCATCTGTTGTAACCGATTAGGAACATCCTTGTAACCGGTTAGATGAGATCTGAATCTCATCTACTCGAGTACTTTAAGTCTTGTAACCGGTTAGATGTATAGGCAGAAGTTTCCCAACGACTATTTTGACTATCTGACCTCATGGGAACTTACCATAATGCCCCCAAACGGCTATATTCTTCCAAGGGCCTATAAATACACAATGTAAGGACATTATGGGGATGCAAGGGAGCCAACACTTGAGAGACCTCATTAGGCATTAAAGAGAGCTTTTGTTCTCATATTTCTCTCATCTCTTTCATTCATTCATATATTACACTTGAGAGATTCAACTAAGGATTCAAAGAGCTTTTGCTCTATTCTATACTTGAAAGATTCTATTGGGTTCATAAGAGTTTTTATTCTTCACTTATATCATCCTGTTTCATTCATATCATTCATAGAGTTTGAGCTTCACTTATATTCATCAATACTCTAGTTGTGAGCTAAAATTTGTACATCTATCTTTGAGAGATTTTTTATACTTCATTATTCTTGTTACTATCTATTGTAAGGATTGGTTTGACCCATTGGGTTGGTGTGACCCAAAGGAAGACTAAGGGAAGGTTTTTCTCTTAGCAAAAAGTAAGGAGTTGCTTCATGTAAATATTTGCTCTCCACCCGTAAGGAGAAGCCATAGTGCATTGGGAAGTCTCAAGAGGGGTCTTGAGCCGAGGAGTAGGAGTTTCTGAACCTCGCTATAATTGCTGAGTCAGTGTTTGCAATTTCTCTTCCCTTGTCTCTTTTACAATTGTGTTATTAATTGTTTACTTTCATATCTTGAATATTACATAATTACTTAAATGGTTGATTAGAAATTGTAAATCTATAAATTGCGAAAATTGGTCATTGACTTTATTCACCCCCCTATAGAATCAATCATTGGGTAACAGTATCAACAAGCGAGGTCACTGGTAGCGATCACGAATGTCATCGTCGGTGACGACCTCCTGTTGCCGTGGCGGCCGTTGAATCTGGTTTGGTATGGTTGATTAGTTCCCAAATCAATCTTTATTACTTCTAACACCTTCGTTTCTCAGATTTCTTCTTGTTAAGTTATTGCAATTTCTAGGCTAAAGATCACCGAGTTGGCTATGTTTGCTTTACAGGCTTGGCTTTGGAGCTCTGTTTTGGGGTTTGATGATGGAACTAATTGCAATCTTCAACAAAGCCACAACAACACAAGTGTAATGATTTTGCAGTTGATCAATTAAGCTTTTGTCATCTGATTCGAATTGAAGGATTGATTAATTGCCCTATACACAAAGCTAAAAAAAGGTATCTATTGGTGTAATGATGTTGTTGCTGTTGATGTTGTCATCATCGGAAGAAAAGAGGAAGAAGACCAACTTATAAAGATTATTTTTGTAATTTAAAAATTATAATTATCATTTTTAAATTTAATATTAAATCATAAGGTTAATTTTGTCATTTCAAAACCTAATAAATGGGTTGGTCACTGATATGTGGTAACTTGATAGCATTTCTTTAGTTTAGGGAATGTTTAATTTTAGTGGAGATTTTTTTGCACTAAAATGATAGTAGAGGGGGTTATGTGATTTTTTCCCTTTAGATAAATAAAATAAATGGGTGAATGACAAAAAATCCCCTTCGACTTCCACCCATTTGCAAAAAATACCTCTTATGAATATTTTTAGCAAAAAATCACCCTCATTTTTTTTTTGAAAGAAATTGCCCCTTAACAGTAATTGCCTTTTTTATTTTTTATTATTTACTCTCACGCCACTTCAGCAAATTCTTCATACTGTTTTATTCATACAATAATGTTTCAATATTATAATTGAATCATATATTTTATGCAGGTGGACCTGTTGAATGTAAAGAGTGTTTCAATATTATAATTGAATCTTATATACTCTAATAATATATAAGTGTGTGAAAATTAAATCAAATTTATTTTATTTACTTTTATCCTATCAGTATGAAACCATACTATAAGTCAAGTTTATTTTATTTTAATTTATATTTTATCCTATCATATCTTATGATAATTTTTCCCTAATATCATATTAAATTAGTATAAAACCATTTTATATGTTTATGTAAAGAAAGGTATTTTATACGAGCTTGAATAAAAGTATGTTAAATAATTATAGTAATCCTACTAAAAGTAATGATTGTGTTGTCTTTTTCTCAAAAGGGACAACCACCACCACCAAAAATAAATAAATAAATAAATAAAAAATTTAGGGTTTAAAACCCCAAATTTACGTTTTCGAATTTCAGTCCAAACTTGCATGATCTTCGTATAGCTATTAATGCGAGTGAATTGCACGAGAAAGACGAATGATACTAAGAGTTGGTGGATGATTCACTTGGTGTAAACGAACATATTCAATGCCAATTTTGGTTGATTCGCTTGGTGTATATGAGCGAGTCGATTCTATAACTTTTATAAAGATTGAGTCCAAATGTGAACAGATGGAAATAAAATTCGTTTTAGGCAATCACCAAAAAAAATTAAGAAAGCGTGAGTAATTTGGTAATAGTGTGTATTTACTAATCGGATATCACTTAAAGTCACCCTTCGGGATAGTTGAAGGGGATTTTTTACTAAAAATATTCTTAAGGGAATTTTTTGCAAACGGATGAAAATCAAAATCGAAGGGGTTTTTTTTTTTTTTTTAGCAATTAGCCCTAAAGAAATAAAAAGGTTTTTTTTTTTTTTTTTAGCAATTTGCCCTAAACAAATAAAATTGTTTTTTTTTTTAGTTAAAAAATAAATAAAATTGTTGTGCTGCCTTTACTAGCAACAAAAATTACTAGTATTATTTATAATTTGTGGTGAAAAAAAAAAAATTTATAATTTGTGTAGAAATAGTGGTCTCCACTTATATTTTGATGCTCAGTCTGAAAACAAGAACAGAACTTTCACAACCGAGGGTTTGGGAAATTTTTTTTTTTCAGAGAATCGAGGGGATTTTCAAGGCTTGAAAGCTCAAAGTGTGTGTAATGGTGGGATTAATTGAAGGTGCGTAATGGAAAACGCAGACTCCGATGAGGCAGAGTCGAAGAAGAGGCCTCATTTCAACTCCGCCATGGCTCGCCACTCTTCAACTTCTCCGGATAGCAAACCTGTAAGCTTCCCAATTCCATATCTCTCTCTCTCTCTTTATATATGTCTATGTATAGTATATACACACACTAAATACATACATACATGTATGTGTGCCTTATATGTTCCCTCCAGCAAAACCCTAATTACTCCATATGAAATCCAAGCTTTGCTCGCCCATTCTTCGATTTGGGCAAAACTTCCAACTTCTCTGTTGAAACGACCCACCAAATTAGTCTGCAACAATTTATTGATAGACAGCATATACAGAATACACACATACATACATGTGTATGTATATATATTTGATTAATATAAAGGGGTTGTCTACTTCTTATTGATCATCCATCCCACTTGTTGACCCTTTTTCTCGAGGTGTGCATTTTAGCATCTAAATATTGATTTTTTTTTTCCACCTTTAATTGATTCCAACTATGTCAATTATACATGGCTGATCTAAACTTCTTGTCGATGCTTACCTTGTCATTCACTAATGAATACGGGTGCTCAAAGACTTTAATTTTCTTTGTTGCTCACTTTCCTAACTGTTGCAAGTTTATGCATGTGACTGAAAAATTTAATAAGTTCATGCTAGATGAATTCATTCTCTTTTGCATTAGTACAAGTGTAAGGGTGTAAGAAAGTGTCACTTTACCATATATGTTGAGAATATTTCTGTTAGAAAAATTGGGATATTAGACATGAAAATATATTTATACAACATAATATATTGATATAATACTTTAACTAGGAATTTCTAGCAAGTGCGAGTCATCTTCTCATGTTGACTACTACAACAGAATATATTGATAGAATACCTTATGTATTTATAGTAAAAAATCTTGACTTATGATGTGTATACCAATAGATGGAGCTTTTGAAGTCACCACTTCTGTACTTAATTTGTTTCTTTATAGCTTTGTGTTAACCTGATTTGGTGTGTGATGAGAAACAAGATATATGAAGTGTATCAAGGTGCTTTAAGAGTTCCATTCTTTTAGTATTGATTGGAGATGCTCGGAGGACATTAATAGGAGCTGCATGGAGCTCCTGGTGCGCAGGATTTTCTTTTTTTGACTAAAATTTTGACAAGTTTCAATTGTTAGTTTAAATATGAAAACATGAATAATATAAATTAATGCTATCTGCAGGGAGATTAAAAATGAGCAAATATGTATTCTTACATTATTCTGTACTAGTTGTCCTAGCTTAAAAATGAGCAAACAATCTTAATTAACTCAATTATGTTTCATATTATCTGATCTTTTAGTATCAGCTGAATGTTTGTTCTACCGTTTCATTTCATTTATGGCCAGAGTTTTGTTATGGCTGCTAACTCTTGTCATAACTTTATGAATGTTGTTTTTGTCTTTTCCATATTCTTTACCTGCCTTTGACTCAAACGGTAATTGTCTTTCTCATTGGTTGTGTCATTTGTGCTTTCTTTCAGCTTGTTCTTAGTATGCCTTTAAATTCCCGTGAGTGCATCAGCTCTAATTCTTTCTTTTCGTGTAATTGATGTCATACATTGTTTTTTTCAGTCATTCCCATTGAGAAATAAAAAATAAAAAATATAGGTGTAATATAACTATGAATCCTTGGGTCTTAAAATATTTGGGGAGGGATCTATTTATGCTTGGCGCAAGAATAAGTTAGTCTTACACCCGGCAATAACATTTTGTAGCTTTAATATCTTAATAATTCGGCTGTTGGATCATATACCATTTCATGTTTATACTGCATGCCAAAAACTCAAATTAATTAGACATGAGCTGCTTCAGTGCCACGCTTTAAATTTTTGTATGTTTTTATGTTTCAATAAAATAAACATATGTTTATGGAGGTACTTAGTAATCCACATGCACGACAAACACTTATTAGTGTTTACTTTGCATCAATGTTATGTGGACTCTTCAGAGGTTGGTGAAGTATTTGTGTTCGACACACAATACTTGGACAAGCACCTAAAAAGTACGTCTAATAATTGAATTTTATTATATTATTACCTTAAAATGGGTGAAATACATTAAACACTGTGACATAAAGACATTATTCTATTTTAGAAAATAAACTAAAAATAAGTGGCCTAGCGGTATTAGTCCTTTACTTCCCAAAGGGTGGTCAGGGATTCAAGCCTTAGTCGAGGCATGTGTGTATGAGGACCAACTATTAAGTGATATGAATATTTAGCAGTGTCCCTGTGTCTTATGTATAGAGATTTGATGATTTGACTCATCTGATGCTCAGATACATACCCACAGGGCCACACCCGACACATGTACTTGAGTCCGTGTAACAAAGGTTTGCATGATAAAATAGAGAAAGAAGAATATCTCAAGATTTTCTTTTTATTTCAGGTTGATGCAGCAGTTCTCCAGTACGAGAATCAAAAACTTGTTCAGCAGTTAGATGTACAAAAGCATGAGCTACAAGACCTCGAAGCTAAAATTAAGGAATTAAAAGATAAGCAAGCTTCTTATGATGACATTTTGATTACAGTGAACCAACTCTGGAATCAGGTGACCTATTCTTTGTCATGCCCTCTTCATATGGTCTCCTTTTTTCCTTGTTATGATTTTCATCTTCTAATATATATATTTTATTTATTTTTGTACATAGTTGGTTGATGATTTAATTTTTCTTGGACTACGAGCTGGGGCAGGACAAAATTCTTTACAAACCTTGGATCGTGTAGACCGGTCTCGAGGTTAATTTGTTTATATGAGATTATTAGTTGGCTCATTCGTAAAAACGCTTCAAGATATATAATTTTGCTTACAATATAAGAAATACTTTGATTCTACTCTTTAGGTTCAGTTCCATCATGTCCTGCAGAGGAGATATTTCTTTATAGATTACTAGAAACAGATTCTATTGGAAGCAATGGCAAGGATGGATCTCTTAAATATATTGAAGAAGCCCTTGCTTTGCGTCATTCATCTACTCGAGAATTGATGAAATTCTTGCAAGATACTGTTGATGCTCAAAGATCTAAAACAGAGAGCATAGTGCAGGCTTTACATGGAAAGCTTTCTGCAGAAGGTTAGGTGAAATTTGATGAGAAGTCCACTTTTTTTTTAAATTATTCTACATATTCTTATCCACTAGTAAGTATATATTTTCTTTTATAATTTCTGGTTTAGCGGTATCAGCCTCTTACTTCCCAAAGGGAGGTCAGGGGTTCAAGTCTCAGAAGAGACGTGTGTGAGTACCAACTAGGAAAAAAAATTTCACTTAGGAGTTTGCATTTATTTTGTTATTATTTCAACTTCAAATTCTCAGATGTTATCATCGAATTGCGTAAGATTGACGATTTGATGAAAGAGGAGGCTAATCATTTGCATGAAGTGATTGATGTTCTTCACATGAAGCACAAAGAATACACTGATGGCATTCAGGCTCATCTTCACAGCCATGCAGTGAATCAATCAGAAATTAAACGCCTTGCAGGTATCTGAGACGGTTCCTTCAGCTCATATTTGTATTTACTGAGCACTTTATTGATTATTTAAATAAATAGAATTTGCATAGAATTGTACATGTACTTACATTTAAAGTTATGATGTTACTGTACCTCAATGGTTTTAGATCCAAGTACATTCTGATTAATTGGTAGCAGTTACCATAACTTGCTACTAAGGAGTGTCTCATGATTGTGTGTTAAATGCATAAATCTTTTGTCTGTGCTAAAAGGTGAGCTGGAAGAGAGCATGACAGAACTCGAAGAAAGTAGAAGAAAACTAGTTAATCTTAAAATGCGGAAGGATGTGGCATCTGGGGTTCATACTCCGGTTTTGGGTACAATAAATGGAAGCTTGTCACCTGAAAAGACTGCAGATATAACAAAGGGTTTGAGGGAATTGAAGGATTCCATTGAGGAAACAAAGGTAGCCATCCCCACCTCTCTCTCTCTCTCTCTCTCTCTCTCTCTCTCTCTCTCTCTCCCCCTCCCTCCCTCTCTCTCTCTCTCTCTCTCTCTCCCCCTCCCTCCCTCCCTTATCTGCGCTTAATGAATGATGTAGATACTGGCAGCTGACCGTCTTTCGGAGCTTCAAGATGCGCAGGAAGACAATCTAATTCTGTCAAAACAGTTGCAGGATCTTCAGGTTGTAAACATGAACTATTTTAGTTAATAGTTGATACGTATGTTGTGACAAAAGCTTTATCTGTAGTTTTATTAGTGTAAAATTTAACTTATCTATTTGTGTTCTTCCAGAATGAACTGAAGGATGATAAATATGTGTATTCATCCCGTCCGTACAATTTACTGACTGATCAGCTCCAACATTGGAATGCTGAAGTGGAGCGCTACAAAGCATTAACAGATTCTCTGCAGGTTATGTGTTTTGTTCTTATGTATATGCTTATTGTTTATATGCTGGTTCAATTGTGTGGTCTCTTTTTTGAAAGTTAAATTTCAGGCTGACAGGTCTTTTGTCTTGCGAAGAGAGAAAGAATTGAATGTAAAAGTAGAGTCAGTAGATTCTGCTAGGAATGCCATTGACAATACTGAGTCTAAGATTGAGGAACTGGAGCTTCAACTGCAGGACTGTATTATTGAAAAAAATGAGCTTGAGATAAAAATGGAAGAAGCTTTGCAAGATTCAGGTATTATAATTTTATTTACTTTTTATCAAAACTGAAACTTAATGAGCTTCTGCTTCCTAAAAGGGTGTTAGCTGCTCCAGGGAGAAAAGATATTAAAGCAGAATTTCATGTAATGGCCTCGGCTTTGTCTAAAGAAATGGGAATGATGGAAGCACAATTGAATCGGTGGAAAGAGACAGCTCATGAAGCCCTTTCCTTACGTGAAGAAGCAGAGTCACTAAAAGCTTTATTGGGGAGAAAGGTTACCATTATATGTTACTCTTTTTTTGCCATAATCTTAAGTTCGTTATTTGCTGAACAGTAATCCGACTTGCATTTCCTATTGAGCAAGTGTGGGGCAGTTACAGAGAAGAAAATGTCCCTGTACAAGCTTATTCCAATAAGATAAAAATTTATATTGAAGTTAATACCCGTTGCTGTGACTCGATCTTGCAATGTCACATGATTAAATGAAGTGGCGATTCTAGTATGCCTCAAGGCAAACTTGGGCCAGTGACCAATCTTTTACTGGATTTCTGGAAACAAGAAAGAATTGAGTGGACTCCAGAAATTAATTATTAAAAAGTAGTTTCTTAAGATCTTTATAGGGTTGGATAATGTTTTTGAACTATGGAACAATTTTCTTTTTGGCTTGACATTCTTATATATCATTCTTTTAGTATGGATTCATAACATATATTGTTGTTTTCTGGCGCCTTCTGCTGTGTCCTCTGAGATTTACACATTCTTTTCCTTCTTAGACTAGTGAACAGAAGTGCATGGCAGATAAATATGCTGTTCAGACAGTGGAGGCCAAATCTCTAAAGTCTCTTGTAAGTTTGTCTCCCTTATCCTGATTGGATTTTGCTAATTAACTATCGTGCTGTCTATGGATCTTTCTTGAACATTCTAAGCCGATATTGACTGGGAATTTTTTATGATCACTCTATGAATGAGCTCATATAAGTAACTTGTGAAGATGAAACTGTTGTAGATTGAGAAGATGCAGAAGGAAAAATTAGAGCTGCAAATCTTATTGGACATGCTTGGACAGCAAATTTATGACAACAGGTATGTTGGCAAAATGTTGCTGAGAATCTAGTAAGGTAGCATTTGGGCATTTGAGTGTTAAGCAGTTTAAAATAAAGTGATATGCATGGTTGAATGCAATGTTTTAAGTTTCAACCCAAGAAAAATTGTGTTGATGCATAATGCATTATTGCTTTCTGCGTTGAGAATGTTTCTATGGAAATTCAGAGGCACTGAACGACATAATTTCAGCAAGAGCATGAAAGCACCACTTTTAATATTGCCTTGGCTCCAAATTAAAAAATGTCACCTCAATCAGTAAATTACAAGTATATCCACCTTACTCACAAATTAATTGACTCTGAGACTACATGACATTTTATATACGTGTGCAATGTTTAAAGGTTTTCTCAGTAGAGGATGGTGGGAAAGAATTTTCTGTCCCAAAACTTCGTGGATTTTATTCAATCACTCATTTACTCTCATGCAGATGGTGCTGCATAAATGTTTAATGTGAAATAAGAGTTGGGACCCATGCATGCAAAAGATATTGTAACTTCACCCTGACCATCTGATCCATACGTAGCTAAAAAAAATTCTTAACGATGGGAGTTCATCATCAAAGTTATGGAACATGACCTGTACTACTTGCTGACTTATCACCGTGAAGTTTCTTTGTGTGCTTCTATTTGTGAATGAATATGGTGCCTTTTAGGCTGGTTAGAATTTAAACTCTAGACTTTCTTGTTTGCAAAAGAAAAATGATTTTTCTCATTCTATTTTAAGTTACTGACAACCGTTCCCTAGAACCTAGTTCTTTTGCCATCATAGATTCTGAAGATTGACATATCTTCAATTAGCTATGCAAATGGGTAAGTATCTGGGTATGCATTCAGGGGATGAAATATCTTTTGTGGAAATCCAGCATGAGCAATAGTTGGAAAGTCTCCCTTTATTTTACCTATTAAAAAAAAAAAAAAAAAAAAAAAAAAGAAAGTCTCCCTTTATTAGGTACCTATTTTAATTTCTAGTGGAAGCCAGAACGTAATAATATGGATATATTGCTAGCAAATATAGTACATAAAGAAATTTTGTGATAAACCTAATATACATATGAAATATGGTGTTTTACCAATCAGAGCATAACAGACCGAGTCCCTGTGTAGGTTCAGGTAGTCTTTTAGTTCAGTAAATTTTTATTGAGCTGTGTGGATCAATTTGTTAGCATAGTAGATTTTTATTACATATAATATTCTTCTCTTGGGCATGACTAAGTTTCAACTTTTTGGGTCCTAGAGATTTGATGGAAATTAAAGAATCAGAGCAGAGAGCTGCCTTACAAGCTGAACTTTTGAGAAATGCACTAAATGAACATGGCTTAGAATTGAGAGTGAAAGCTGCCAATGAAGCTGAGGCTGCTTGCCAACATCGCCTTTCTGCTGCTGAAGCTGAAATAGCTGATTTAAGGGCCAAACTGGATGCTTCTGACAGGTTATGTTTCTTCTTGTTCTTTTGGAAAATATCTGGACCTTTTGTCATTTTTTATTCTGCAATAACAATATTTTAGATTATCCTCATGGAAATATTTGCTACTATCATGTTAGCATCGTGTCTACCATCTTTAGGATGCTAGAATGTTATACAGTTACCATCTTGGGTTGGAAGAGTTCTCATGTAAATTGTGGCACTATATTTTTTATTTTGAATCACAATTTTCTTTGTCGAGAAAGTGCAGGAAAAAGATCTTCATTGAGTGAGATGTGAGAGATATGTAGAAGAGAAGAATTCCAAGAGATAAGGTATATAGAAAAGAGAAATTGAGTCGGAGACGCTTTGGGGAGGAGAGAAGGGGATGGTCTTCTAGGCCGGTTAGATTTGTTGCTGGCGGGGGAGTGTGGAAATTTATTTGCAAGGGTTGGGACAAGCTGTCTAAGCATATTAGGTTCAAAGTTCGGGAGGGCAGGGATGTTCGGTTCTGGGAGGATTATTGGTGTGGGGATTGCCCGTTGTCTCGGTTGTTTCCAAGACTTTTTAGGATTGATGCAGATAGACATGCTATGACAGCGGACTGTTATCGGCTTGATAGCGGAAGGCTTACGTGGGATGTGCGTTTTCGGCGTTCTTTCCAGGATTGGGAACTTGAGGATGTCCTTGGCCTTTTGGATCTTTTGTATAGGCAAGATGTGGACGGTAGAGGGTCTAACTCCTTGGTTCGGATGCCTTCTCCTCAGGGGAGGTTTGATGTCCGTTCTTTTTTCCTTAGGCTCGCCGGTTTTCATGGCTCTAGTTTCCTGTGGAAGACGGTTTGGCGTTCGAAGGCTCCTCTTTGGGTGGCATTTTTTTTTTTGTACTATGGCTTTGGGTAAGATTCAGACTCTAGACGATTTGAGAAAGAAAAGACAGATCACAGTCAACTGTTGTTGTATGTTTAAGAATGATGGAGAGTGGATCACTTTCTCTTGCATTGTTCTATGACTTATGATTGCTGGAGTCTTATTTTTGGTCTTTTTGGCATCCAATGGGTTATGCCTTGGTCTTCAAGGGATTTGATTGACATTTGGAGGGGCCAAAGGGTGAGGGCGCATACTCGTGTTTGTTGGAGGGTGACCCCCCTTTGTGTTTGGTGGAGCATTTGGAAAGAGCGAAACAAAAGATCTTTTAATGGGGAGAAAACCTCCATTGGGGCGCTGAAATCTGCTATTATTAGTTCTCTTTTTAGTTGGGTGATGGGGAGAAATTTTATATCTTTAAATGAGATTTTGGACTTTTTGGGTTCGTTGGGTCCATAGGGCTTTTTGTTTGGTTTCTTGTATATCTCTTGAGATGCTTTTCCCTTTTGAACGCTTTCTAATACAAAGGATGGGTCACCCACCCTTTGTGTTTGGTGGAGTATTTGGAAAGAGCGAAACAAAAGATCTTTTGATGGGGAGGAAACCCCCATTGGGGCGCTGAAATTTGCTATTATTAGTTACTTTTTAGTTGGGTGATGGGGAGAAATTGTAAATCTTTAGATGAGATTGTGGACTTTTTGGGCTCGTTGGGTCCATAGGGTTTTTTGTTTGGTTTCTTGTATGTCTCTTGGGATGCGTTCCCCTTTTGAACGCTTCCTAATACATTTTATTTATCAAAAAAAAAAAAAAAAAGGGAGGAGAGAAAAAGAGTATAAGAGACTTTTGAGAGAGAATTTACAGGAGAAAAGACTTCTAAGATGGAGATGAGAGAATACTGGAAAAGATGAGAGAGAGAGAGAGAGAGAGAGAGAAGAGAGATGGATGAACCTTGAATCATCAAAGCCTTTCTGACTCGGCTTGGCCCGGTCGCCCTTTGAATCTTCAGTAGGGGCCTTCAGTCATCCTTTCTCCAAAAATTTCATCCCTCCAAATTTGGACGGAAGAGAGGTGGGACGGGAAGACAAGTTGGGCTATTACAAAAGATTTATATTACAACACCATCCTTCATAAATTATAATACTATAGATAGTGATGGGTATAATGGTAAAAACAATTAATAAATTTCCTCACTTCTCTTTTAACGAACATAGTAAGTTGTCAGTTTCTTCTATAGATAGTGACGGGGATAATAGTAAAAACAATTAAAAAATCTCTTCCCTTCTCTTTTAACCAACATAATAAGTTGTCTGCTTCTTCTCTTCTCCTCCATCTAACTGAACAAAAAGAGGGAAAAATACAATCTCTTCTTTAGGGATGACTCAACCATCCCTTCTTCTCCCCTTCCTTCCAATTTTTTTCCTTCCTGCTGAACAAAGCATTAGACTCAAAGCAGTATATAAACACCTCTATGCTCTCATAAAAAACACAAACACACGCATCGATACAAAGATCTCTCACAATATTTTTTAGAGAGCATACAGAGAGATCACATATTCATATTTTAATGAACAGCATCTAGGCACATAAGGTACATATTTTCTTTTTCCTCATTTAGCATGGCTGCATTAGATGGTGAGTTAGTAATCAAAGTGTTGATCATCAACTTATGGAATTTAAATTGTCATCATCGCCAAATCAGTAACAAAAGACAATTTTACGGCACTAGTCATTAGAGATCAAGAGTCCATGGAGAAACAAATAGCACGGGGAGCAAGTCTGTTTATAGAGATCAACGACTGGAAGGATTTGGGGAGATCTTGTGCAAGTCTGAGTTGGGAGAGACTAGGTGATTCTATGGTGAATTTGGTAAATTAGTTTTTACCTCTTTCTCGTTTAGTATATTTCTAGTCCTATATTTCTAGTTTGAGTATATATATTTTTTTCTTCCATAAAAAATAGTCTCTACTTTATTTTATTTATCACTTGATATGTTTATGTGGTTGCTATTGAGACTTGAATCAAACTAATTAATTGAATTTTAAAAAGGATGACGGTATTTTATAAAGTAAGTTGAAAAATTGATATCCATAAGAACCCTTCTCTCTCTCTCTCTCTCTCTCTCTCTCTCTCTCTCTCTCTCTCTCCCCCTTCTCCTCCAGATCTATTTGGGGTTTTGCACACACTGACATATGACTGTCTTGGTTCACAGTCCTCATATTCCTCAATTTCCCAACCCAACTGGAAAGGCAGAAGATAATGTGCCCATGTGTTTAATGTGTGTGTACATGCTTTAAAAAAATAGTTGAGCAACGTGTACGTGTGTTTAATGCATCTGTACATGGTTATACTGCATGAGCGCATATATTTGGGGACGAGGATGTGGGTTCAGTGTAGGATAGTGGTCAATGGAATGAGTTTTTCAGAGTAAAACTGATAGTTTTTGTACGTGCTACAGGGAGGGGTTGTTGGAAATTTCGGGTTTCCTTGTCTTTTGAAAATGGGGGTGGGGGTGGGTCGCAATAGTTGTCATGTGGAAAATTCTGGGTTCCAGTAAGGGTGCAATTGGAATTCTTTGGTTCTTTTCCGGTACTAGTAGTCTAATATGCATTATTCACTAACTTATGTTGTTCCTATTAATTTGGACTTCTGATAGATGCTTTCACATCAACAGTACAAAAAATCTGAACAAGTTTCTTACATATGTGGTTGCTTTTTTTTGCTGCTACTGTTTTTATTGGGGATCAACTTTTCAATTGTGCTATATATGGACGTTTAATAATCTTACATTTTTTGCTGTCATTTTACTTGTAGGGATGTTTTAGAGCTTACTGAGGCCATTAAAATTAAAGATGGGGAGGCAGAGGCATATATTTCTGAAATTGAGGTGTCCTAATTGCGCGTAAATTCTTTTAGCAAGATTTTCTTATTTTTTGTTCAATGTGGTGCAATTTGGGTCATGACCGGTGCCACCTATTTTCTTCTTGCCCATCCTCTTCCGCTCTCTTTTACTTGCAGACTATTGGTCAAGCATACGAAGATATGCAGACACAGAACCAACATCTTTTGCAGCAGGTTACTGAGAGGGATGATTACAATATCAAGGTCTTGTAAATAACTGCCTCAAGAGCTCACTTTTGTGATTCTCCTTAGCTTAGAATCCTGTTGTTCGCCTGGGTAAGTGATGCAGTTGGATGCTAGGGCTAGTAGTTCCTGATTTTTTGCACATTTTTATAATGCAGCTAGTCTCCGAGAGTGTGAAGATGAAGCAGGATCAAAGCTTTCTACTCTCTGAGAAGCAGGCATTAGGAAAGCAACTTCAGCAGGTTAACATGTCTCTAGAATCTTTAAGAACGAGGATTTCTCACAGTGAAGAGCAGGTAAGGTTTCTGTGTACTTCTTGAACAACTTCGCCAAATGTTATCCTCTACCAACCATAGTTAGAACCTTGCAGATGAAAGTTTGCCTTACTGAAGCTATGAAATCTACTGAAGAGGATAGACACCTTGCAGTCAACCTGGAAACTGCAAAGTGGGAAATGGCAGATTCTGAGAAGGAATTGAAGTGGCTGAAATCTGCTGTTGCTTCTTCTGAGAAGGAAAATGAGCAGATCCAGAGAAAGATGGAAGAAATCCAAATGGAATTGGATAATGAAAGGTGATTTTATTTTTTAATTTGATTTTCAGGCAGCCAATTATTTATTTATTTATTTTTTTCCGGACTTTCTTTTTTTAATAAATATTCATTAATTGGCCTACTGTGCTGCATTTGCATTGGACCCTTAAATTTTAAACGAGATAACCAAGGACAAAAGTATTCTTGTATGATGTGATGCAATATTGACTTTGTGATGCATGCTTCCTACATGTGGCAACAATTTTGGCACATGTTGAACATTCGACTGACTACAATATGTAGGTACCTGTGCATTTGAGGCACACTCGGTCTTAGAAACAGTGGCAGCTGCGCTTGGAGCTAATGACCGGGGCTATCCATGCTTGCTATCCAGCTTGATAAACATAAAAAAGGGAAATGAAGATTAAGCAGATGCTTGTCCTTTCCTCTGATGACCTTATCTGTCAAACTTCACTCCTAAGAGATATCTTCTTACCTGAGTTATTTAGCAATTTAGTGCTATTACATTCATGCAGCTGAAATGATCTTAAGAAAAAATTACCTTACATGGACTGATGTCTGCTCCATGGCTGATCTTTAACGTCCTAGCCAGTTTAATTATGGGCTACTGTTTGTATGTGCAGCATGCCTATACTTCTTTCTCATGTCAAGAATTGCTGTCATGTTTGAGGAACGTAACTGTTATGGATATATATTTTTACTATGGTAAATTCCAACCCCAAGCAAGCTGTAGGAGTTTGGGATCGGGGTCTAATTTGTTTGTGAAGGATGATTAGCTCTCCATGTATCTGCCGATTAGTCCACTATATTAGATCCATAATTAACTACCAATTATTCTTGTCAACCAGAAGTGAGAGGAAGAAGCTTGATGAAGATCTCGCGGATTTGAATAGGAAGGTTGCTGAGATGAGTTCTGATGGTGGGGAAGCAGGAATACAGAAACTCCAGGATGAAATCAAGGATTGCAAGGCTATTCTCAAGTGTGGTGTGTGTTTTGATCGGCCAAAAGAGGTATGTATGCATGCTAGGTTACACTTATGGTTTGTTTCTTGTTAGACTCATATCATGTCTAGGCTTGTTTCCCACTTTTATTATTTATAATAAATGTGCAATTTCATTTGGAATTGTGACCCCTTGTGGCACTTCGAATGAACTGTTTTCTCCATCTATTGATGCGGACAATATTAGAGCATATAAACAGCTCTCATAAAACCTGTGTCAGTGTGCACTTCCTTACGAGTACGGCAGACAATGAACATGTTCATGCATCATGTAGTGACTATGAATCTGGTATGCATAACATGTGCATGTATCTTCTAACGTCGATGGATCTAATTCTCATTTTGTTTGGCAGGTTGTAATCACCAAATGCTATCATCTATTTTGCAATCCTTGCATTCAGAGAAACCTAGAGATACGCCATCGCAAGTGTCCTGGTTGTGGAACTGCATTTGGGCAAAGCGATGTTCGGTTTGTAAAGATATGAAAGAGCCATATTTGTCAATTGGCTTTGGTTGTAATTATATTTGCATTCTAATCAGTGGAAGCTCAATCCCTTAAAACCTTAGCTCTTTAATGTCTTAGGGGTCATAGTTAGAGTTCCTTGTGTAGAATAAAAGAAGTGTTTTTGTTTTCCCTTGATTATTCATTGAATTGTGATGCCTCTGTATCTGATCGTGTAACCTTTTTATTTTGATTCCATCCCTTTTCACTGTAATGACAAAATTCATATAGGATAAAATTTTCTCAAATACAATCTTGAATCTTGATGGTGTATACCTCAGATATGAGCTGCATATTTAGGATGAGAATAAAATAAATAAATAAATAAAAAAGTGAAAAACCATTAACCGGTTTTAGCACGGGCTTGCTTGATTTTAGGACGGGTGAATTACATATACGATCAACTTTGGCAGTGTTATGGTTCATGTATCATGAGGTCCACTCTTTGCCCAGTTAGGATAAGCTGGTCTACATTGTTGTTCCGGTTATTATTTTTATATTTTATATATTATTATTATTTAACAGCAGCATTAGTTATTTTTGAACTTAAATGTTCAGCTTAAGTGAAAGAACAAGAAGGTTCTGGCAAAGTTTCGATTAAGTTGGAGGGACGAAACTTGACTTTCAAGATTGGGCAATATCAACCAACACACTTCACATGGAATTGGGCCTTCACATGTTGGGGTTGGAATAAGGATTAATAACTAAGGGCCCCATACTGAAGTTGTATCGTTTGGTAAAATTTGGAAATTTCTTCGTTTGTTAATAATATGTGAAATTCTAAGACATGTTATTTATTTATTATATTAAATTATATAATATATGACATTTTGTACTATTTTACTAAATTTTAGTATACATATATTTAGTTTAAAAAATCGACAATAAATTTTTAATAGGGTAAAGTTCAAAAAACTCCCATAATCTTTACTCTCTTTCCCAAGAAACCCATTGAACTTCTATTTTTACAATAAACCCCCTTAACTATCCCATTTTTTGCAAAAAACCACCCGACATCGCTATTGTTTGGTTTTTCTGGTTAAACCTAGGCTGTAATTTGAAAATGACAATGTTACCCTTATTACCATTAGAATATATAAGGGTAAAGTGCAAATAACCCCAGAACTATGTCCAAATTTACAAATAAACCCACGAACGATATTTTGTACATTATACCCCATGAATTATCACATTTTTGTTAAATGGTCATAATCTAAGTCACATGGAGTGGGTGCGAGTGCGAGTGCGAGAGCACGAAAGCGTCAAAGTTTAAATTTTTTTAAAGCGGGAGCGTCTTGAGAGCGTCTGTATATTAGGTTTAAATAAAATTATATAAGGTCATGACATATATATTTTGTATTTTTATTTATTTAAATTCATATGCAAATATATTCATTATTTTTTATTCCATTAATGATATATGTAATAAACAAGCTAATTTTTCTCACTAATAGATACATGGTTTATTTGTAATATTTTCCAATTAGAAAGTTTTTTAGTAATATATATATATATATATATATATATATATATATATATATATGGTAGTATAGCAATGCTGTATAAGTAATTAATCTATATATTGAGTAATAATGTAAGTAACAAATGCATGTATGGCAATATAGATGTTCCAACTGTAACAAATTTAGCTGTATAAAGTGAATTTGTATAGAAATCGTGAATTAGGAAAACAAATTCGTGAATTGCAAAAATTAAATTCATGATTTTTCGCAAATTCGCTCCCAAATCGTAAATTCCCGTTTGGACGAATTGTGTGACTTAGGTCATAATGCCCTTCTTATTGAATTATACTTAATATATTTTTCTTATAAAATAAATATGAACAAATTTATACTATTTTAATGACATATTTCCCATCAAATGTGCATAAATTTACCATTAATTATTGAAATTAATTTTTTTTTTTTAAAATCTTAAGTAGAATTTTTTAAAAATTCTTTTTAAGTAATAATAAAAATCTTAAGTAGAAAAATTTTAAGTAATTTTTTATTTTTCATGAATATACTGTATGAAAAAAAGTGATTTTTTATTTAAGTAATTTCTTAATTTTTTATATATATATATAGTTTGAAAAAAAATTATTTTTTCCCCAACAAAGAAGTTTAAACTGTGTATAATAAATTTTACTTTAAATAGTAAAGTTTTAACAATAAGTTAATCATTTTAGAAAATGGGTAAATTTGATGGAAGTTACAACACTGTATTTTAAATTTTTTTTTCTCCATTATTATGATAAATTGATATAAATAATAAAATCAAGGCAAATTTGAATTTTTTTTTTAAGATAAATGGTACACTTAATATTTAGATGAGGAAATGATAATAAACATAATTTAATAAGACATGACCAATTTAATAAAAATGAGTAAAATTGTTCTTTGTGATGGGTATATCGTTGGTTACAATAAATCATTAGTTTAAGGGGATTGTTTGTAGTTTAGAGGGGTTTTTTTTTGCAAAAAGGCAATAGTTCAGGGGAGTTTTTTGCAATCAAATGAGGTCATTTTATTAAAGGGTAATTTGGTAATCTAATATCTCTGGTGACGGTGAATTTTGATTTTGTCCTTAAATTGCACTTTTTAAATAGTTCAGGAGATACTACTTAGTTCAAGGGGTTTTTGTGTTTTTTGTTGAAAGTTTAGAGGGGTTTATTGCACTTTACCCCTTTTAATATCATAGCTATCATATTAGACCAAATTGCACTAAACCCTCTTGTACTATCAAAAATTTAAAAAATACCCCTCTACTTTTGTTTTAGCAACAAACACTCTCAATTTACGGAAACTTACAAATTATCCCCTTCTTATAGACAAATGTTGAAATTCTAATATTAAAGTGGTCTATTATAGTGCATGTGGCACATGGGTTGATTAATGAGATTTGTTTGTATAAATGATTTGTATAAGTGGGAGGCAAAGGAGTTAAACCTACTAAAACATGTGGTGAGAGTAGTGGAAGTAATTGAATATTTATATGTAAGAAACATACGCATGTTTTGAAGCTAATATAAACTCATTTATATATACTTAACCGTTTTTAGTCTTCTATATATATATATAGTCTTCTATATATATATATATATACAGTCTTTTATTTCTTTTGAGGTCTCTGGTTCACTTAGGGTTAGTTTGGTAGAGTGGAAATGGGAGGAAAGAGAAGGGAAGGTGATGGAGAGGGATTAAAAATTTGTGTTTGGCAAAAAATGTTGGAAGGAAAGGGAAGGGAAGGGAAGGGTTTGGAGGGTTAACTTGTGCCTTCAACAGTAAATTTCTTAACCTCCCAAAAATAGGAGGAAATAAAGGGAAAGGGAAGGAGAGGCTTGGTGTGTGATTTCAGATGCCAATCTTGCCCTTGATTAGTTGATTTAGCAATTGCAGAGAGAGAGGAGGGCAAGCTTGAGAGTTGAGAACGGCGAAGCTTGCTTGCGAACAGCGAACGGTGAACCTGAATTGGAACAGCAGGCGATGGAAACTGATATGGGTTTTGATTTTTTGAACAATCTGATATGGGTTTTGATCGATATGGGTTTTGATTTTTTGAACAATCTGAATTTGGGTTTTGATTTTTTGAACAATCTAAAATGATGCAGATATGGGTTTTGAAGTTTTGATTCTTGCAGACAAATATATAAACTGAAATATATGGGTTTTGAACTTCTGATTCTTGTAGTAGTTTGTAGTTGCAAAGAGAGAGAGAGAGAAGTTTGGCGTTGAGAACGAGAATAGAGAGATGGAGTTGAGAACGAGAAGAGAGATGGAGTTAATTTGCCCTAAAAAAATGGAGGTTGAAATGATTTGCCCTAAAATTTTTTTTCGTACGAGACAAATATATATGTATATATATATATAAATTTATATTTTAAAATATAAAAAGGAGACAAATATATATATATATATATATATATATATATATATATAAATAAATTTATATTTTAAAATATAAAAGGGCATAATAGTAAATTTAAAAATAATTCTCCTTCCTATCCTTCCCTTTCTTTCCCCAAACATGATTATTATCCTTTCCTTTCTTTTCTTTCATTAATCAACCAAACATAATACCAAATTAAAATTATCCTTCCCTTCCCTTTCCCTCATAACTAATGTTATCTTTTCCCTTCAAACCCACCCTACCAAACATAGCCTTAGGGAGTAAGAAGTGAACTCTGATTCATCTTTTTTCCTTCCTTTACCCTTTCTTCTATTCTCTTTCACCTTATTCACCCTTCCTTCCATCTTCTTCTCTTTCTATACGTCTCCTCTATTCCATGACAAGACCTCACCTTCCATCTCAAAAACCTTACCCTCACTCTGGAAGAAAACATAGTCATCGAAGCCATAAAAGATGATACCATTTTTGGAGTTGCAGAATACAAACTCAGTCTATTTGGGAAACTTGTCTATGATAAACCCAAAAATATGAAAGGCATCCACAAGAATTTCACAGATCTATGGAAATATAAGTTCAAATTATTTCGCCTTACTCCCGATAAATTTCAATTTCTCTTTGAATCTGATCATGACCTCCTAAATGTCATTTCAAGCCCTCCATGGTTTTTTGAGAACTACATTTTTCTACTCGTAGAATGGAAACTGATGATGCGGGATTCCGCGATGACCCGAAGTGACATCGTACCTGAAAAAGGAAGAGAAAGATGATCGAGTACAGGAGTGGTACAGGCCTAAGAGCCTCCGACGATCAAGTCAGTGCTAGATTAAGAGGGTGGAAAGAAAGTTCAAAGCTCTCTTAGGGATTTGTGTCGTACCTTTTATGTTAATCCGAAAGCCCTCTTTATAGGGGTGTCAAGTTGTATTGAAGGAGGAGTAGTATTCCTCATATTTTTCTAACACGGAAGGGAGAACCTATTCTTATCCTTATCCAAGATAGTGGAGTTTATCATGATTTACAGCTTTGTGTGACGGTCAAACTTCCTGACTGAAGACTCCTCATCAGTTGCCCCCCATTCTCGGGTTTGTATGTCGAACGTAGAGAATGTAAAGATTTATTCCCCAACTTATTCTTCATCATGCCATGTATATATTTACATATATATTTTATTTTTGTCCAACAAGTAAAAATAACACATATATTCTTTATTTGCTGGAGAAATGCACATGGGCTCATGTAGCCCACATGGTTAAGACCCTCCACCTTGGTACCAAGGTTCATGGGTTCAAAGCTCCCTTCAAGCGCCAAAATATTATTTTTAATTAAAAGAGGTAGCTTATAGGAGGCTGCCATGTGGCAGGAGGCTG